ATTATTTCATTTGGAGTTGTTGAAGATGTTTTTATGGTTATATGCCTCATTTTTGGGTTAAATGTTGGACTGAAAAATGTAGCCACTTTGTTTCTGTCTCCTTCTTTTGGTCTAAAATGTTTTTAAGAGGTGATGAAATACCAATGATTAAGTTTTGTTCTAAAACCGCCACTGTCAAATTGCTCACTGTGGGCATTCCAGGCAGATTTGGATAAGATTTCATAGTGACGTTTTTGGTTGCTTGGAGCTTCTAAAGATAAAAGTAAGATTGAAGTTTGCATGAAAATAGAAAAGGAAGGGCCTTGTTGCCCACAAGTTTATTTGAAGCTTCCTTCCATGGAGTAAAAGGATGTGCGTCTCTCTTTTTACTCCCCTATATAAAGAAGCCATGGTGACATAGACGGAACTAGAGGGGTGGTTAGGTGGCACGTGCGACCGTATTGTTCCTCCGTGGTAAGGTAAAAAAAATTAGGTTCGTGAAAGGTGCAACCGTTTTATATGGTGCCACCGTATCCAAAAATTCTTGGGTCCGTCCCTGCATGGTGAAGCATTTTAAGAGTGAGCTCCGACAATGTAGAAGTTTCAGCACTTCCTTTTTTACATTTTATAGTTGTACTTGCAATTTATTTTCAAGTCTTAGATTTTCAGCATTGTTGCCCATTGTAGCCACACTGTGGGAACAATTTGTATTTTTATTTTCAATGAATTAACTTTTAAGTATTCCTCTTCTTATACTATGTTCTTAACTTTAATTATTAGCTACATACCCCTTTGGGGGTGCGTGTCGATTATAAGTTCAGTAGGCAACACTTGGTGTTGTCATCGTTGCTAACCCTTTGGCTTGGTTAATCAAGTTTAAGGTTTAAATCAATGCGGACAAGACGATCACTTGGGAGTGTTAATATTAGGTTTTAGTCCTAGAGATGGCCGGATTCTGAAATACGGCTTGAGTGATACAAGAAGATTTGAGAAAGTCTTTCTTAATCATGTAGAGATACGGGGTTTGCATGATTTTGTAACTAAATTTCAGACATCGCTCGAGTACGGTGTTACATAGAGATATGAGCGTTCTCTCCATGCCAATAGAACTAAGAATCCCTAAAATGTACTTAGTTCGGTCGGCAAGCCTTCGGTTGGTAAAAATGGCGACTTTGTGGGGAGACTGTGGGCACTCTTTATGAAAGTTCACTTGCGAGAGATGGGGCTGTTATAAATGTTTTTGTGACTCATCTCCTTGACCGTCTTGTTACTAATGATCTCTTAGGTGACATTTACACACATACCCATTTTTAATTATTTGTTTATATTTTATTGTGAAAAGCATCAAATTCGGTCAAATATATTTTCTCCTTCTCTAATTGAAATCATTGTATTCTTGACCTACTACTTGAAACTCTGAAGTTCTATCCCTTTGGATACGATCTCGGTATTTCTATTACTTTATTACTTGAAAACGATCATAGTGTCCGGTGTACACTTGCATCACCATTGTGGTTACATTGTAGCCACTTTGTGACATACACATTTTCCCGCTACCAATAACCAACATAGGTTAAGTAATTGATTCGTAAAATTGTTGAAAAGTAGACGAAAATATTACAATGATCTACAAAAAGAAAATGAAAGAAGACTCCAAGTATCCAGAGATGGAGCTAGGAACTTTTTCTAGTGATGACACCATTTGACCATAAAACTGAAGCTATAGATATTTTTCAAAAGTCATTATTGGTTTGTTGGTTAGCTCCTATCCTATCATTTTGTATGTGAGGTCTTGTATTTGAGTTTTTTATCACAATTTTTTCAGAAACATACTAAACCTGAAATTAATAGCTAAAAACTAAGCAAATGATTGAAACGGGATCCAAACCCGCACTTGGGATGTAGAGTAAATCATTTTTCTGTCATAAGGTAAAAAAAATCTAAGATCATGAAAAGTGTCACTTTATTGCAATATGGGACGTCATCATATATATTTTGAAACTACAATGATAACACAAGCTTGTTTTGAAAGACTTGGTTTGGACGGTTTTTCTCTAGCTGTATGACAGAAAAATGATGACATCCCACGTGTATTTTTTATTGGTTTTAATAAAATTAAGAGAAAACTATGATTTATATATACGTGGTTTGTTAAAAATTGTTATTGTTTTAGTATTATGTTTTCGTCGATTTGGTTTTGCAATTCATTATTGTATTTGTTCTTGAGATTAACTTTGTCGATGATTTATCATTAAGTACGGAGGACGAAAACAATAATGAAGTGTTAATCATAGAAACAAATAAACCATAAATACAAAATAAATAATGAAGTATAAATCATGGAGACCAAAATCGTAATTTCAAGAAACATAATTTACTTTAAAATAAATCATCCGAAAATCTAAGATGCATGCAAAAAATGATAACAAAGCCTTAAAATAAAATTTTAATTCTTTGTGATAAACTTGTATTTTGTTTCAAATGATTGGTTACCAAGTATGGGATCTTTTGTATTACGGTTAAAAATAACATAATTAAATAAAGTTTTGATCAAGTGGAGGTTTAGTTATCCCCTCTCAGACATGCTTCGTTGCCACCTAGATATAACTAAGACATCATTGTAGCCTCCGAGATATGTATATATACATATATATACATAGGGCCTAATCAAATGAGAACTGATTAGTTTGTGGTAACTGTGAGAATCAATGTGAGCCAATCATTTAAATAATTAATGTTATATCCTAAAATAACATARAGGGTAAATTGGTAATGTTTACCCTAACCCTCTTGTTCTTCCTTCTTTCATCGACTAACCCTATTTTTCTATTGCTACTTCTTCTTCATCAAGTCGGCCGACGATTCCTTCTTTCATCGACTAACCCTATTTTNTTCCTTCTTTCATCGACTAACCCTATTTTTCTATTGCTACTTCTTCTTCATCAAGTCGGCCGACGATTCCTTCTTTCATCGACTAACCCTATTTTTCTATTGTTGTTTCTTCTTCTCCATCAAGCCGGCCGATGATCTTCTTCATCAAGCCGGCCGACGATAACRCCGCCCTCTCACTCCCGCTGGAGATTGAACAAGGTATTGCTTTCATAACTTGTCATGTTGGATCCGATTCCATCAACACTAGCAGATAGAGGACCATTCATCACAGGGGCAGATAGTTCACGAGGCGCTATATTGATTCTGGCAGACCCAACAGATTCCCACTAGACAGAAACAGGTGCTTGAGCCGACTGCAACTCCTTCATGAAAGCAATCTCCGGCATCAAAGATGATTACGCCGATCCAAGTCACTAGCTTCAATATTAGGTACCGGAGGAGAGACAATATTTTAGGAACAAACAGGTGTGTTATGTCTCCCCCTGTCAAGGGTATGTCTCCTATTGTCAAGGTGTATCACAATGTAACATAGTGTATCACAGTGTATCACAATATTCAATTTCATTATTTTTCAAGGGTATGTCTCCTATACACTATCAAGGGTATTGTCAAGGGTATGTCTCCTATTGTCAAGGGTATGTCTCCTATACACTATCACAATGTAACATAGTGTATCACAATGGTATCATAGTATATCACAATGAGTATCACATTGTGTATCTTTGTGATTAATTGGTACCTACCGGAATAATGTTGGACGGAGG